CTCGCCCTCTCCAGCCTTGACCCCTGCCCGGCCCCGGCTGGAGCCCGGGCAGCAGCTGCCCTCAGCCTTGCCGCAGCCTCGCCCAGACACCTTTTCAAGGCCCCCCCTCCACCTCCTGTTTTGGAGGTTGCCTCGCTCCATTGCCCTCCGGGCGCCGCTCGGAAGCCCCACATTCCCGGCATAAGCAATAACCCGGGTCCAGTTGCAGCCGGGGGGCATGCCCATATGCAATACACGCGCACGCGCGCGCGCTCTCGCCCGTACCCCCTGGGGCATCGCACAGTTGCAAAAGGGATTGTGTGTGCTTCCTCTTCCAGTAAGTCGCCGCGTCCGACCCCCACCCACCCAGTCTCTGCTGGGGCGAACACCTGGTGCTCGGAACATCCAGGGGGAAGGGACGTGGCGGTGGGGCGCGAGGTCAGAGGGTCCCTCGCCAGAATTTCTGGCCTTTGGGAGCAGGTCGCCCACCGCCCCGCGAGGTTAGAGGCGACAGGAACGCCCACCACCCCTACCGGGGCCTGCCCCTTCCCCTTTAATTTCCTTTTTTCCCTGTGCTTTATAGAAAGGGCTTGGCCAGGGGGCCGGCTGGACTGCAGATGTCTCTCCCAGGCTCCCGGAGAGCTCTCCTCCCAGCTGCCGTCTGCCTGCAAAACCTCCCACAACCCCACCCAGACCCTGGACGAGGGCCAACCAGCATTTATTAAACACCTTTTGAATGCTCCCAGGCTGCTTCTGGCAAGAGAAGCAGGAGCCCCCAGCTCTGGGCTTAACTGTTAACGTTTAACCGGCTGGAAAAGCCCTTCCTTTCACCTTTCACCTTGGAGTCCCATAGGTCCAGTCGCCACGCCTTTCTCCTGCCCTGCCCTACCCTGCCCGGAGCCAGGCACGAGGCCATGTGCTGGGTTTGTGCGGGCTGTAAAGGCAGGAAGGCAGTGCCCTCTGTCCCTGAGGCTCCAGTGCCCTCCCTTCTTGGGAAAGCCCCCCGCCCCCACCCCCTCCAGAAAACATCTGAAGAAGCATCCTGGGAAGGAGGGGGTTGCTTAGAAATCTTGCAACATTTAAAAGGATACCAAGGCCCTGGGAAAGGCAGCACAGTCCTCCAGCTCTGGGACTCTGGGCCTCCCAGGGTGGGTCGGGCTGGATGGAAGGTGGGGAAGGTTCCAACAGGTACAGAGAGCAAGAAGGACCAGGGTTAGACATGAGCAAGGACTTGTCATGCGTCTAACTAGAGTGGACTTCTGCCCTGTAAGCCTTGCTGGGGGAGGGGGACCTGGGTGGTTAGAGAGGACCCTTTGGTTCTGGGGCTGCCTGGGAATGTGGGGGTGCTAACTACTTATTTGGGGTGAGGACAGAGATCCTAGTTCCCTGGCCTAGATCTTGCAGGATCCTTGATGGGGGAACAGGGGTTTCAGAAAGGGAGACTTAGAAGGGAGGGAGAGAAGGATCAGGAAAGGGAATCAGAGTGGGGCTGGGAAAGGGAGGAGGCAGGGAATGGAGGTTTGAGAGACACAGTCTGGGGGGTGGGGGCTCAGAAGTGACTGGCTGGGGCTGGATTGGAGACTAAAGTTAGAAGATCTGCTGCAGATCCCAGACCCTCCAGTAGGTCCAACCCCAGGCGGCTGCCCTGCCCCCTGCCCAGCTCCACTGGCCATGCACCCCCTGGGGCCCCGCCTGCAAGTGGGGGTAGTCGGGGTCCAGATCCGCCCCCCTGACCCCTGCCCGTGGCCCCGCGGTGACATTTGACCTTGTAGCGGCTGAGGTCCAGGGACAAAGAGGTCTGGGCCCATCTGCCGCGGGGGCACCCGTGGGAACAGCCAGACCCTGCTCTGGGAGGCCTGGGAACCAGCCCCCGCCCCCTCCTCCAGCACAAACTCCTTCCCCGCCCCCACAGGTGACCTTGTCTCCTTGTGCCCCCTCCCCCACGGGCCACCAGGTGGGACTGGGGGCTAAGGTCATTCTTGGACTCCTGGGAGGTGGGGAGAGGACAAGAAAGTTGATAAGGTCGGCTCCTCTGCCCACCGCACGGGCGACATTGCCCGCCTCAGTTTCCCTGCTGTCTTCCAAGCCTGCCTCCGTCCAGAGAGAATGCTCAGGGGTCTGAAGGTCAGCAGCCCCAGCACGCCCTGAGGCCTCTGTGGATCAGGAGGACCGGGTGCTGGCCAGGTCGCTGACTGACGCTGACCTCAGGCCTGTTTTGCCTTCCCCAGAGGCAGTCACCCGACACACACCAGCACAGGTGAGGCCTGGGAAACGCCCCCAGCACCAGGCAGAGAACGAAAACCTGGCTAATCCCCAGTTTGGGTTTCAACTACCGCCCAGGAGGGGACAGCTGGCTACTAATCCCAGCCGGCTGGATCCAGCCCAGCGCCCCCCCCACTCCCCCCCACCTTTTGCAACCCGGCTAAACCCGTTTGGACGAGCGGGGAAGTGTGGCCTATGCAAATGAATGCTAATCAGATGCCTGTTATTAACCTGACACTAACACCTCGCACAGCTCCCTAGCCGCCTGGTGAAAGCTGGGGTTTAGCCATCCACGTTCTCTAGGGCCTTGTGTTCTCCATCAGCAGCAACTCTGAGCTCCTCAGCGCCTGCAGCATCGGCCCTGAGTTTCTGCGCTCACGTCTTTAAGCCCTGTGCCTTAGCTCCACATACTTTGCATGCAAATTCCAAAGCGGCATCTGACTCCTCCTCCCCCAACCTGCACCCCAAGGGCAATGCCCTTCCAGCAAACATTCCACACCCTGAACCATGGGGGCCCCAGTCGCCCTGGGACTTGAGCATCTTCCTCTCGAGAGCATTTGCCCAGGCCAAACCTAGCATCTCCCAAGGGGGTGGGCAGGGGCAGGTGTGCCCAGCCACCCCCCACGCACACACCATGGACCCCTCCCTGGCTCCTGGAGACAGGCGAGAGTTGGAATTTCAGCTCTGGCTATGTAACCTCACTGACCCCTGAATCTCCCCAGCCAGCCCTGGGGACCCTGTCCCCCCGGCCCAGGCTGCCTCTAGCATGACCCTAGCTGACCCGGTTCATATGCCCCATGGTGCCAGGCGAAAGACACCGAATCTTTTTCAAATGCTGGCCAACAACCCATCAGGACCCAGACACCCACGTAGCCCCATCACACCAAGACAAACACCCATCAACATGCAAAGTCAGACCACATGACATCACTCCAGGAGATTTATGACAGGGCCTGCCACCACCGTCTGGGACATTTAGACACAGCCAGGCACAGCCTACAGAAAGGTCTCCCCCAGCCCGGGAGGTGAGCGGGGTGGCCTGGGCCTCCCCAGGACTCTTGTGGTGGCTTCCAGCACAGCCAGCTCCTCTGCCTGTCTGGCCTCCAGTAGTGTCACCTGCTGCTCCAGCTTTCTCCGTTGCTCTTCCTGCTTCCGTTGGGCTCCTCGGAAGGCCAGAACCAGGGCTCTGGAGGGGTGAGGGAGCTGAGCCAGGATATCGTCCCCCACCCTACCCAAGATGGGGGCTATGTATTTCCCGACTGGGATCCCACTGTCACTCAGTAGGGGCTGACACAAACCAGGGCCGAGGGGGAGGTAGAATGGGCTGAACGTGCAGCCCACCTTACAGGAGGGAAGCTGAAGCCCATAAGAGCGAGGAATGCTTCTGAGATCACCACGGGGGGCGGGGGACCCACCTGTGAGCCTTACATAAGTCGTTGTTCAGCTTGGCACTCTGAGCACGCCTGGCTCGTCCCTTCTTAGCGACCTGTTCCAGCTCCTCCCGAAGAAACTGCAGCTGCTCCCACAGGCCCAGGGCCCTGGTGCAGGAGTGAGGAGAGAAGGGCTCCCAGCCAGAGCCAATCCTGTCTTCCTTCTGCCCACCCACCTGCCCACAGTGTTTCCGCGGAGCACACCTGTACACAGGTGCACACCCAGGATACCGCTGCTGTACACAACCTCCCCCACGCCCCCACGCCCCCCAGACGCTCACATAGGAACCACCACCACCCTCTCAGGCCAACCATCCCCAGCCCAGGACCCAGGCACACACCGGGCGAGTGATGCTGACAGCTCCTGAGCTAGCTCCTCCGGGTCCTGCACCTGCCCCACCTGGCCTCCACCAATGCCCCTGCTGCCTCCAGGGATCGCCAGGCCCTGAAGGAAGCAGAGGGGAGGGACCTGACAGTGGCCTAGGCTAAGTGTGTGCCGAGTTCGAGCTGGATGTTGATGTCCAGACTGGTAGCGATAGTCCTTTGCCCTCACCGCGCTCCCAGTCTCATGAGATGCCGCAGTAAGGGTAAAATTACTCCCTAACAAGGGAAGTAAATAACACATGACCTCACCTAAAGGCAGGTCAGAAGGGCTTCCTGAGGGAGGTGATATTTAAACTCAGGCCTCCGGGAGGTCAAGGACTTAACTAGATAAAGAAGTGGCCCCTGTTCCTGGCAGGGGCACAGCAGATACAAAGGCTTAGAGGTGGAAGAGATGATTCAGAGGAGGGTTCTATAAGCCACTGAAGGCTTTAAGCAGAGGGCAGACATGACTGACAAAAAGGCAGGGAAAGGAAGGGTTCTGGGAGGGAGCTAGAACCAAAATTTAGGAAGAGATGAAGCATGGGCTGATGGGCTGGGGCTATTGGGTAGAGGGGCGAGGTGAATAGGCGTGGGAGATGGGAATAAGGAGGTGCAGGTTTGAAGGGAAGACACTAAGCCCCTGGGGCTGATTGGGCTCCATACCCTCCCCAAAAAAAACCCAAAGTACAAAGTGTGAACTTTAACCTGCAGTTCCCCATTCAACTCACTTCTTTGTGCAGAAATGGAAGTCCAGGCTTGGCCAGAGACAGCCAGCCAGCAGGGTACTGCTCTCCCTACTGGGTCCAGCAGAGCCGCTCACCTGGCACCATGCCTCCTCATCTCCGCTGCTCCCGCCACTGCTGCCACCACCGCTGCTGGTGGCCCCGCGCGTCTGAAGCTGCGCCCGTTCCCACTGCAGCTGCTCCAGCAGGAGCGTGTGGACCGGGCCCTGGGCTCGGAGGGCCGCCTCCTGCAGCTCCAGACCCCGCTTCTCCCGCCGCACCAGCTGTAGCCTCAGCGTCAGGTCCTCCAGGGCCTCCTGAGAAACCAAGGAGAGGGTGAAGCATCTGTGCCGCTAGGGTCAACGTCTGGGGGAACTGAGGTCCCAGGAGGCACCCACTGAGGGCTGGTCAAGCAAGAACTGAAGCCCTCACTGTGACCTTGTGTGGTAAGAAATATCATCCTCCCATCAGAACTACAGCTGTAGATATGGCAGTTCAGAGAGGGCAGGTATTTTAGACAAGGTCAAGTAACAGCTCAGTGGAAGGGTCTGGAGTTTCTCCAAGTCCAGAACCTTAGGTCATTCCCACCAGGCTAGAAAGCTCAGATGGCGTCTCCTGCCCCATTTATTTTCCATACGAAGGGCATTTTGGAAAGCCATATTCAAAGTCTTATGAGGAACTGAATTCCAAAGGACAAACTCCTATTCATCCCTCAAAACTCCAGCCCCGATTCTCCTCCCTCCAGGAAGCCTGCCTCTAGCCCAGCAGAGCTTTTCCTTGCTACTTGGTCACCTAATCACATCCCTCATCCTCACCAAAGGGTTTTGTCCCACCAGGAAAGACCGACACAGTGACCCCGCTTATGTGTACCCGTGTGGCCTCCAGGTCCTGCTGGATCCGCCTCTTCTCCAGCCGGGGCAGGGCTGGGCCAGGTTGAGTCTCCAGAATGGCCTGCACCAGGGCTTCTGCATGGGGCAGAGTGGGCATGGGTGCCAAGGT